GATTGCAGATTGAAACCAGCCTGGGAAATTTAGCAAAGCCTTCTCTCAAAATTTGAAATAAAATAAAAAGTTCTAGGGATGTAGCTCAGTGATAGAGAGCTCCTGGGTTCAATCCCCAGTATAGGAAAAAAAAATTTATTTTTTTGGTGCCAGGATTTGAACCCAGGGGTGCTGAGACACTGAGCCATATCCCCAGCCCATTTTTGTATTTTATTTAAAGACAGGATCTCACAGAGTTGCTTAGGACCTTGCTAAGCTGGCTTTGAACTCATGATCCTCAGCTCAGCCTCCTGAGCTGCTGGGTTTACAGGTGTGTACCACCGTGACTGGCTGTCCAGTGTCTTTGTAAGACAAGAAACACAAGGACAGGCAACAGAGAGAGGGGCATGCCACGTGAAGATGACACAGGAAGGGAAGCATCCCATGCCACCCAAGGCACAGGTCTCTACCTGCCAGGAGCAAACAGAAGCTGAGGGAGACTGCCTGGCCTGGGACCCCTGGATTTTAGAGTTCTGGCCCCAGAACTATGAGAAAATAATTCTGTTGTTTGAAGCCATGCTGTTACAGCAGCTCTTGAAACTAAAACTAAGTGCCATGGTTTGGATGTGGTTTAAATATGTCCCTTGTAGAAGATTCATGAGTTGGAGGTCTGGTCCTCATGTGGCAGTTAGAAGTGGTGAACTTTTCAGAGGAAAGCCTAGTGGCAGGTCCTAAGGTCAACTGGAGCCATGCCTGCAAGAGGGGTTGTGGGGCCCCAGGCTCCTGTCTCAAGAAGTCACTTACTCCCACCACATGGCAGCTCTCACACAGGCTTCTGCCATGCTGAGACCCTCTCCAGAGGCCCAACCAATGGAGTGTCCAACACTATGAGTTAAACAGACTTCTCCTCTTTATAAAGTTAGCCTACCTAAGGTAGACTACCTAATGAAAAACAGACTAACACACAACGTGTTTTTTTTTTTTTAAGAGAGAGGGAGAGAGAGAGAAAAAATTTTAATATTTTGTTTTTTAGTTATTGGCGGACACAACATCTTTGTATGTGGTGCTGAGGATCGAACCCGGGCCACACGCATGCTAGTCGAGCGCTCTACCGCTGAGCCACATCCCCAACCCACACACAACGTGTTAAATGTTCAAATTCTCTAGCGTAGACAGAGGATGTGTGATATGTTTTGGCTGAATTAATGAATGAATGAGTGAAGGTGAACACAGAAGTAAGAAATAGTGATGACTGAGTGAAGGGGCAAGCGTGGGTGTATTTATACCCCTGGATGGGTGCTACATGAGAACTTGGGATCCATCTTAGGGTCTGAATGGCTGGCCAAGACTAGACTTCTAGACACGCTATCTCATTCCTATGAGATACATCCCTGCGTGCCAAGGCTTCCAATTTCCTAAGAAGTCATAAATCTGGGTTTTTATGGAAAATCTCCTAGGTTTTTAAGTGTTGGCTTACAATCAAAATAAATCTACTATCAGAAGCTGCACCCTGGAAGGCCTATTGTGTCTCTAACATGTAGTGCAGCCCTGGGCAGGACTCATGGTGGCCAATGGATGCAAATCAGCAGCAGAGGGGAAAATGTATCCTCCCAGCTCTGGAGACTAGTGCACCTCCAGGCCACATGGACACCCTGTGCTGATGCCTGGAGCCTGCCTCCCCTCTGACCTGACTGAAAAAGAGCCTTACAGCAGTTGAACCAACTAAGACAAGAGAAGTGAACTTTAAGAACCTGCAGGCACCAAGCAGGATAACGGGTCCCTAAACGGTGCGAAAGATTTAAAAGCTGGAAGTCAGGACATTGTAGCCCCACACAGAAGGAAAGTCAGCTCTCTAATCATCATTAATTCCAGTCCCCCACCCCACCTCCACACCCCTCACCAAGGGCTAAGATCTTGCTCTTCATTTCCATTCACAGACAGATGGCCTGAATCACAAAAGGAACTGCTGAGAGCATCCATGCTGAGGGTCAGAGGCCACCTAAGTTCCAAAGTTACAGACCCCTGGCTTTTGAACAGGGTGTAGCTCTAGGGTCCACAATCTAAACGCCTGGGAATTTGTTAGAAATCTAAGTGCTTGGCCCCAGACTTAGACCCTCTGGGTGGGGGCCCCACAATCTCTGTCTTAACAATCCAGGGTTCAGATGTTCATGTTTGAGAACCTCTGTCCCAGGGGAACCAGGTCACACAGGTAAGTAGGGTATTCCTTTAAGGGAGCCTAAATGCAGCCACCAATATCTGTAAGTGTAAGAACTGACCTAGATGACACCTCACTCAGGAAGCAAGGGACTCAGCACTGAGAAACTAGCCAGACAGGGTCCACTCCCCACATACTACCAGGGATCAGGGCTTACTTACTGGCTGGCAGTGCAGGATTCACCTGGGTGGACAAACTGCCAGATTCACAACTTATGAGGACAGTGTCTGAGAGGAGGGTAAGTGTGATGCTCCCTTGCAGAGGTCTGCCTGGGTTTCAGGTAGGACAGCCCCTGGCCATGGCCAGCGCCCGCAGCACTCAGGCCAAGATTGGCCACCAAAATCACACGGGAAGGGGTCCAGCTCAGTCAGTACTGACCAGAGGCGAGCAAGGAGCACCAGAGTGGAGAGGCTGCCCTGTGCTGGATGCTCTGAGTGGTTTCCAGGTGCCAGCAACCAAACCAACTCAGGAGCAGAGACAACCTCCCACCATCCAGCCCCCATCACCTACTGGGGCTGCAGTGCATGCAGGCAGATGCCACACAATTTTGTATTTTTTCTTTCCAGGAATGGCAACAAGATAGACTCTTGAAGGATCACAGCACTGTACCTGGGAGGAGGGACACACATCAGCCCCTAGTGATTCCTCACCTAAACACCTTAATCTTTTCCCCACATGCTTCTGCTTCTTATCTCTGGAGGCCTGCATTCCTTGCAAAAGTTCTGGATTCCTTTGTTCTCCTGAGGATAAGTTCCCTGTCCTCAAGCTGCTTGGCCTTGTAAAGAAGACAAACAAGTAAATAGGCAACAACAAAAAGTACCCTCAATAGGGCTGTGGTGTGTGGGTGATGTAGGCTAGGCAGTCACAGGGGCGGGGAGGCATCCTGCCCAGGGGGTCATAGCCTTCATGGAGGAGGGCAAGCACCAGCCTCCACTAGTTGAAAAGTGAACTTCTGGCAGGGACTGGGCAGGGGGGCCTGTGTCCTTGTTACATAGCACAGACATGTTTACTGATGAAAGGGCATTAGATGATCACAGTCTAGGACACTAACCCCGAGGTCAGCCAAAGTTCTATATTCACCAGACAATCTGTTCCCTTCCAGCAGCTCAGAAGGTTTGCTCTATGCACACTAGGGTGACTGGCTAGGACCAGAAGGAAAATGAGGCTATGTTCTGTAGCTTGTCCACAAACAAGGGAGACAGGAACTTAAGTAACCAGCCATGTACTGAAAGGGATGTCACAGAGGGGAGCCAGCTGACCAACCAGATGACCCCTCACAGTGGACACTACCTTAGTCAATTCAATGGCTCACCACTCAGAAACACAAGGTTCTCAGTCCAGGAAGAATAGACCTTGCTTAAGAAGACTAATCCACACTCAGCAGACACCAACTTGGAAAAACCAGAGGGCTAGCTGATTAATTTACCTTTCTGGCAGTTATTCACACCCGCTGTCCAGGGCATGTGCTGAAATGGACTGTTCATGTAAGCATTTGACAAGGATTTCATAAGTGTCCATTATTTAACCTGTGAGCATCTGATTAAGGAAATACATCAGCCAAATGAGGCGGGGACAGAAATGGGAGGTGGAATTGTGCAATGAGTTTGGCGTCAAACAAGCTGGAGTTCAAACATTGTGCACCATTTATTACATAGGCAACTAGGTAAAATTGCTTAACCTTCCTGAGTCTCTGTCCTCATCTGTAAAATATGGGCACAGCAACACCCTCTCATAGGTCCATTAATGAATTATGTGAGATTACGTATTTAAACTGCCTAGCTGTACTTATGCTTATATTTATCTGGAGAGGGTATGCCACCTAATGGTTAAGGGAAGAGGCTTTGGAATCAGGGAGATCTGGGTTTAATCCTAGCTCTGCCACTTACTAGGAATATGATCTTGGGCAAGTGGCTCAATTATTTCCAAGTCTCAGTTTGTTCATTTGTGAAATGGAAATATAAATTCCCTTTTTTTTTTAAATATAAATTCCTGAGAGAGACCAAGAAGTAAACAAGATAATGTATTCAAAGGGCTTAGCAAATTTCCAGGGTATGATAAGTATTCAACAAATTATATGTAAGAGTAATTTTTAAAAGCTGTCCAAGACTTCACACATTATAAATTAGTACAAACTTCTGCAGTTATGGTGGCACATGCCTGTAATTCCAATGACTCTGGGAAGGCTGAGGTCGGAGGATCAGAGGTTCTGGGCCAATGTCAATAAATCAGGGAGGCATTGAACAATTTAGGGGGATCATATCTCAAAATAAAAAATAAAAAGGGCTGGGGATGTGGCTCAGTGATTAAGCACCTCTAGGTTCAATGCCCAGTACCAATACAAAACCAAATCCAAAATTTAATAAATTAAACGTATAAAAAGTTAATCACTTTGAATTGTTATTTAAAACCTTTTCTGAAACAAGCCTCTGCTCCAGACTACTTTCAACCCATATTTTCCAACAGTTTCTAAAATAATGTCATTCATGTGCAGCCAAGCATAAACTCAAATCTGTCTCAATACTGCTAAGTCATGCTCCACAGTGGATCAGAAGCAGCGAGTCTGGGCTCTACCTCTGAGTTTGTCTGAGGGTAGCCCTGGTACCCATAAAGCACTATGCATTCCATATAATGATTACAGACCAATGCGCAAAGCGTGATTGTAACAAAAGCCCCTGCAGGAAAGGACACAAATCACTTCTCAATCTTTGATTTATTCTAACACTGTCTATTTTTAAACGGCTTATAAAGCTTTCAAATCATACAAGAATAATTTTGATAGAAATTAACCAATCTTTGAATTCTAACCTTTCTGCAAACTCGACTGGTCTAGAACAAAGGGCAGCCCTGACGTTCCACCCCTGAGGAGACCACGCACCGCGCGGACCCCGAGGCCTCAGTTAGGGGTCGGCGGGAACCCCGTTCCCCCCGTGGGTTTTGCGAGGTTCAGGGTGGACGAGGGTACGATTTCAAGTCTCGACCTAAACTTTCACCCAAAACCCAAGTTTCTGAAAGAATGTGAGGGTTTCTATGAGCTGCAACTTTAGAGGCTCTTTCCAAATAGAATCATTGTCAAATGCAGTATGGAATCTCATCGCCAGCACCTGCCCTGGCCACGGCTCCCAGCCAGGAACCCAGCCGATAAAGCAGGCTGGGCCGGACTCTAGGAGGCCCGACGTGGCGGTCACTTTGGGCCAGTGGCGGCGAAGCACCTAGCGGGCTAGGCAGGGCGCAGATCCCCGGCTAAGTCGGCGTTTCCCCGGGGGAGAGCCGGAAGCCGCGAACGCGGGGAGTGCGGGGACACACCGAGTCCCGGCCGGGGCAGTAGGCGGCCGGCTCCCTCGTCCACGCCACCAGAACCTGGGGCAGCCGCAGCACCAGGACGGCAGGGTCGAGGAGGGCAAGCGAGCGGGGGCGCCGGAGGCAGGGACAACCTATGTGCTCCGACGGGCGCCTGCCCGCGAAGAACACTGCCTCGGGGGCGGCTACCAGCTCGCCAGCCTCGCGCGGCCGAGGGTCATCGCGATGCCGCCGTGGAGCCCCGCCCGGCAGGGGGAGGGGGCAACCGCCATCTTCCCGGAGCTCCTGAACCGACAGCGCGCGGCCCCGTTCTCGCGAGACCGCGAAGACCTATGGGAAGGGCGGGGGAGGGGAGGGGAAGGAAGCCGGGCTTGGAGCCGGGGGCGGGCCGCGGCCGCGAGTGGAGCCCCAGGAAGCGAGGGGCGGGGAAAGATGCGATTGACGCGGCCTGCGGACCAATGACGAGCGAGC